CTATTCTTAGCAATAAATTTGTGAAAGCTCCGTTTTTGTAGCTAACTACAAATAAGTCCTTGTGACCTATCGAGATGATGAACTATCTAAGTGCCAAAAATTAGAGTAAATGTTTAATTTCTATGGAACAGAACAATTTAGAATGTCCTTTATTTCTTTCTCATGTTGGACAATAAAAAAGATTAAAACTATTTTAGAAGTCAGAAAAGACTTCTTCAAGGGACTGACACATAAGCTGAAAGCCGAAAGATAAGGAGGAATTAGATGCTTTTGGAGAGGTGAGAAGGGCTCTCCAGGTATCAGGAACAGCATGTGCAAAGGCCCAGTGGCAGAAGGGGGTATGACAAGTCCAAGGGACTAAAAGAAAACCACTGTCGGTGGAGTGGACAGAGTAAGAGGGAAACAGGCACAAGACGAGGCTGAGAGGTAGGGTGAGCACATAAAGGGCTTTTGTGGTCCACAGTGAGGATTTTTAAAATTAAATTCTAGGAACAATGGAAGCCACCTCCCGCCATAAGAGAGACCATGATCAGGCTTGCATCTTGAGACCCTCACTCTGGATCTCTGTGGAGCAGGATTTGGGGAAGAAAAAGAGGAGATACCGAGATCCTAGTTAGAAATCTACCGCCAGAACCCGTATGAGGGGCAATGGAGAAAGAAGGATGTACAAGAATGCAGTAAGCAGGAGTACGTCTGGGAGGCAGGGCTTACTTGACATTGGCTACTCTACCATAGGGTTCAAGTTTTCAATGGTGTGTATATAAATAATCATTGTGACGGGGGAGGGTCAAAGAGAAGGGAAACTAGCTAACCTCAAAGTATAAGGCCCAGATCCCTGCTCTTCACTGGAAAGGTAGGTCAAGGACCAAAGCCATAGGAAATTGGCCAGATTTTGACTGGCAGCTTAGTTTAGTCCTGTCCAATGAGAGAAAGAAGAGAAGTTGTTTGTTTTAATGGATTCAGGAGCAGGAACCACTCATTTAGGTATCTACTATAGAGTTAAAATAAATAAGCTGCAAGTCTTTGGGCAGAGCTGCAGGGTGAAATGTGAAGTTCTGTACCATGCCTGGGAACAGCCCAGCCACCCTGGCAAAAAGACGTCCCTTTGTCTTAAAGATGCTCAGAGATCACGTCCAACGTGTAAGAAATTAACAGTTCTTGTGTTTTAAACATGAAACGCACAAAGTAATATTTCTACTGCATGTACCCATTAAGAATGATTACCTCGGGTTAGAGCTGATACTGTAAATAAGAGTTTAACCTCCTTTAAAGGGGACCTTGTCCCCGCAGAGCCTCTGGACTAATCTCTATTAGGGAAAAAGGCCTCTGAGTCACCCTGTTCGGAACCACAGGTTGCCATCTAGTGGCTACTCAACAAGAACATCTTCAGAGGGACTGGGTTCTCACAGGGCCCGTGAACAGGCATGGGAAGCATAAGCCACTAGCCTGAGACTTTTTAGAATACAGCCACATCTTCAACCCAAGTTTCCCCATGTTTTTCCGTGTACCATGTATAATAAAACTCACGGAAGCCACAGGGTGACAATGTCACCCTTCCAAGAGCACCATTTCCCAAAACAAAACATGCATACAATGTAAGATCCTTTATTTCAGTTTGCTGCTGTAACAGATTCAGAAGTGACAGAAATCAGTACAGTAACCCTAAAGGTTATAAAATCAGAGGTAACTTTACCCTATTACCCAGGAAAAAGCCTTCGTTCCTTTGCTTATTAGCCCAAAGGTATTTTTCCGGCCCATCATCAGTTTTACACAAAGTTAGCTGCAGTTCTAACTCACTTTTTTTTTTAAGCTTAAACACTCCCACCATTAGACTAATTCAACAGAGGTGACCTCAAAACCACACGTTAGAATAAGGCAATAAACAGTCAATCAAAACAAGAGCTGTGTCTTCTCTGGCTGAGAATGAGCTAGGGAGCGTAGAGACGCACGTTCCCCACTAGCTGCTGCCACAACTTCCGCTACGCTCACGCACCACCACTTGTTCCGGACTGACAGCCCCAGGGGAGGCTGAGCACACGATTCCTCTAGGCGGCGGTGTCAAGCAGACTGAGCTCTGGGTGCCCAGGTGCAGGCCGCATGCCATCCACCTCGACTGCATCTTTCAAGGCGTAACACAGAGTAACAATCTGTTTTCTTGAATGAACCTCTTAGCGAACACAACACACGTGTGCACACGCACACACACATGCGCATGCATACAAGCACAAAGCGAATACATAAAATCCCTGGTTTTTTATTATGAACCAAGTAACACAAACAGAATCTTTATTATTTTTTTATCACTAGTGTAATGAAGTTTTAATTTTGCCCAAAGCCAAAATCAGAATATATAAAAGAGAAGATGGCCAGTATTTTCACTTTTAAATTATACTTTACTCAGCTTTTTCTCACTGCCTAGAAACCAGATGCTAAGCCTTTGCCTTTTAAGTTCTAAACCTGCAGGGTCCACCACAGCAGCCACTAGGCACATGTGACTGGGGAGCACTGGAAACGCGGCTGATACGAACTAAGATGGGCCGTAAACGTAAAATACCTCAATGATTTTTAAGAAATATTGATTACATGCTG